AAAATTTAGTCTCCTCCCAGACATAAAAGCCCATTGCTACAGCAGTCTCATCTTTGCACAATTACAGAAAAACAGAAACCATTTTCCTCAATGTAGAGACATCTATCACTAAGAATCAGGGAGAACTCAGCTACACAGTAGAAAATGATACAGTTTCAAAGAAGAATTTGTGAATTAAAGCAGCTGCACATAGGTAAGAGGTAAATTTACTAGGAAAAAACCCCATGCTGTACTGTTTAAACAGCTACACATAATAACACTGCAATTTATGGAAATTTTCCTTTATAAAATTTCTTCTCCATCATAGATCTTACAAATTAAAATCTCTCTTATGACAAGATCAATTGAAAATATGTCTTTTTGAGTGGGTAATACATAGTATGTAAATGAATTCTGTATTTTATCTTAAAGATAAAAAAATACACCTTATACTTGCTAAATCCCTTTTTCTAAAAAGTATGAACAAAAAGGAAGATTTCTTTGCTTCCCACATGATTTTCCTTTTTTTTTAAAGATTTATTTATTTATGCATACAAGAACTGGGGTACAGGTCAAAGGTGTGGGGGGGTGAGAGGATTCACTAGAGACAGAATGAGGAACAGAACAGACAGATATACTGAAATACACTGCTGAGGGGAGCAGTGGGTGAGTCAGGAGAGGTCTGCTGTGCCATGTGGGTAGCTCCCTGGCTGGGGATTGAACTCATGCTGCAGTGGCTGTGAACAGCTTCATAAATTGTGTCTTAACCCCTTGCACCACCAGGGATGCCCTGCTTCCCACATGATTTTCATATTCATGTTTTTGCATATTCTCCTTTTTAAAAACCATACTGTTATTAAGATCATTTAACTGTATAGAAATGAATGAATTAGGAAAAAATATGTTTGAAGTTGCATTTAAATTTTTTAAAGATTTATTTATTTATTTTATACAAGAACTGGGGTATAGGCCAGATGAGCGGGAGGGTGAGAGGATTCACCAGAGACTGAGTAGGGAACAGAACAGGCAGACTGACGAAATACACTGCTGAGGGGAGCAGCGGGCGAGACAGGAGATGTCTGCCGCACCATGTGGGACTCTCGCTAGCCGGCCAGGATCGAACTGGTGCTGCAGGCTGCAGACAGCTTCACAGCACAGCGCTCAACCACCTGCGCCACCAGTGGAGGCCTTGCATTTAAATTTTTGTCCACTGTACAGCAAAGACACAGTAATCAAATTGAAGAGACACCCATTGAATGGGGGAAAGTATTTATACACCATACACCTGATAAGATGTTGATATTGAAGATCTACAAAGAGCTCACACAACTCAACAAAAGCAAATTAAACAACCCAATCCAAAAGTGGGCAGAAGAGCTACACAGACCATTCTCCAAAGAAGAAATGCAAATGGTCAACAGGCCTATGAAAAAATTTTCATCATCACTTGTTATCAGGAAATGCAAATCAAAACCACACTGAGATCCCACCTCACACCTGTGAGAATGGCCCACATTAACAAAAACAAAAAACAAAAAACAAAACCAGAAACAAAAAGTGCTAGTAAAGATGTGGTGAAAATGCTATTTTCTAACTCTGCTGATGGGAATGTAAACTGGTCCATCCTCTATGGAAAACTGTGTGGGGCCTCCCCTGGTGGTGCAGTGGTTGAGGGCTGGGCTGCGAATCTGCCCACAGCCTCTGCAGTGCCAGTTCGATCCGCAGCCAGCCGGTGAGGGTCCCACATGGCGTGCAGACCTCTCCTGTCACACCCGCTGCTCCCCTCAGCAGTGTACTTTGGTCCTTCTGCCTGCTCTGCTCCCCGCTCTGGCTCTGGTGAATTCTCTCACCCTCCCGCGCTTCTGACTGTACCTAATGCTTGTATAAATAAATAAATAAATAGATAGATAAATAAATCAATCAATCTTTAAAAAAAAAACACACTAGAAATGGATCTGCCATATGATCCAGTTATTACCAAAGAATACAAAAACATTAATTCAAAAGAGAACCTGTGGGGCCTCCCTGGTGGCACAAGGGGCTTTGGAAACAACCCAAATGCCCAAAAATAGATGACTGGATCAAGAAGATGTGGTACATATATACCATGGAATATTACTCAACATTCAAAAAAGATAAACACATGCAATTTGCAGCAACATGGATGGCGCTGGAAGGGATCATGCTCAGCGAAATAAACCAGAAAGAAAAAGAAAAATACCGGATGGTCTCACTCATAGCAGGAATCTAGAAAACTTAAATAAGGGACCAGGAAAATGAATAACTATAAGAATGTGAAAATCAAAATCAACAAAAAAACTATGAACCAGAGACACTCTTTGGGGGTGAGGGGCGGGGAGGGGAGGGATTGGGGTCAAAATAAGGGGATTGCAATTGTATGGGGAATATAAAAATAAAATTTATTAAAAAAAAAAATAAAGACAGCCTATGAAGCTATCCGCAGCCACTGCAGTACAAGTTTGATCCCCAGCCAGGGAGCTGACCCATATGGCACAGCAGACCTCTCCTGACTCACCTGTTGCTCCCCTCCGCAGTGGATTTCAGTCAATCTGCCTGTTCTGTTCCCCACTCTGTCTCTGGTGAATCCTCTCACCCCCTACATCTCTGGCCTGTACCCCAGTTCTTGTATGTATAAATAAAAAATCTTAAAAAAATAAGAAAACCTGCATCCTTATATTTATTGCAGCACTATTTAAAATAGTCAAGATATGGAAACAACCTGAATGCCCCCCAAAGGGGAACGGATCAAAAAGATGTGGTATATTTATATAACAATACTACTGAGAGTTCAAAAAGGATAACTCATGCCATTTGCATCAACATGAATGGAGCTGGAAGGGATGATGGTAAGCAAAATAATCAGATGGAAAAAGAATAATATCAGATGGTTTCACTTATATGTGGAATATAGAAAAAACAAACAAAGGGTCAAAGGCAAACCTAATAGCTAGGAGGCATCCACGAGGGGAGGGGTGGGTATGGGGAGGAAAGGGTGAAACAGGGTCAGGGAAGAGCAGAAGGGAATATAGTGCTGGACCTATGGGTGCTATGGTGGTGGGAGAACTAAGGGGACCACACCGGAGGGGAAAAATCATACACTGTCCAAAAATTAAATTTAAAAAAGTGCCCATTTATTTTATGTTCTCCATGGATTGCAATATAACAATGAAAATTCATCTTTCAAATTACATTATCAAGATTTTTACGGAAACCATGAACAAAAGAGTATGAATTTGAGTTTCACTTTCAATTCAAAAATATCTATTTGTCAGTGATTAAATTATTTCACAACATTTAAAATATGTTTTAGAATAGCCATTGTGGCTGTAGTATCAGATATGAAAAATTAAACCTATTTGCCTACGAATTGGTAAAACATAGACCTGAATAATAATCTTCAAGAAAAAGTGTTCTAAGATGCTTCAGGAAAAATCTCGCATGTATTCCTCTTAGAAACAGTAATTTGATTAAATGCAACTAATGACAAGAATCATAGGAGATTTCAGATGACTATAAATGGCTCATCTGTGCAAATTATCTTCATGAGAGCTCAGTGTCTGGCCACATTAAGTAATGGACTGCCTATGAAGAGAAGTTAAACAATACAAAATGTCTGTAAACAGCAAGTGGATATTGTTTTAAGAAAGACAGTCCATAAAGACTTGTAATGTTAGAATCTATCTCCTTTTAAATTATCATCTAAAAGTCCTATAGAGAATTCACCAGGGTGAAATGGTTCCCTGGAAAAATATATTCTTCTCCAACTAATTATTAAAAATGTTTTAAATATAATCATTTGGAAATATGCATAGAGATGTACCTCTATTCTTTTGAAGGTAACCTGTTGTGATGATTAAGAACCTCGGTCCTGGAGTCACACATCCATACTTACAATAATAGCACCTAACTTAGAGGGTTGTTAGAATTAAATGAGTAAATATAGAGGTCAAGTACTTAGCTCTAAGTACTTAGTGCAGAACATATCCTTGATAATTTTCTATAATTATTATAAAGTACATTATTATAATGTGTATTATAATGTATAGACCTACTGCATGGGGGGTTTAAAACTGGGAAATATGGAAGCTAAACAGTTCCATATAAACAGGCCACCATAGACTCCCAAAGACAAGGAGTAAACATCTAAAAAGTCATATTCATTTTTACCACATTACTAAAAATCTGCCTTTCATTATTTGCTTAAGATTGAGTTCAAAAGGCCGTATGTCTCTAGCAACACTTTATAATAATGCTGGTGCACAAAGATAGCTCCAAATACACATTTCCCCCAATTACTTAGTTACTAGGATTGTATATGACAAAAATAACACACCTCCCCCAAATTCAATCCAAAAATAAACATATTTTTTTCTTTTATTTCAAAAGGCAGATGAACAGGAAGGAATCTATCAGCTACAAATCATCAACAGTTATGTTTCTGAGTGTTCGTACACCTCACTTTGCCTAAGTCTGGTTGAATCACCCGTGTGTAAGTCCTCTAAGACATGGATTGTTTCTTGATGGCAAAGATTGGGTTGGAGATCAAAAGGGAACTGTATAAAGGAGAAATGTCAATGAACCAGATCCAATTAGTGAAGAGATTCTCACTTTATATTACTTCTACAAAGCAAAATTATAACTTGTCAAGCATAGTGGAATTTAGTGTTTACCAGAAATGTTTTTATGTCAGACTTCATTAATGACGACAGAGCTTGTATTTGTTGAGTCAAAAATCAACTTACCCCTGGTAGAATCTGATATGCCTCACTATATTTTCAAGACGTATCTCTTCTAAATGTGTCTATGCAATAGTATATAAGCAGAGATTAATTCATAAAATAATTAGTATAATGGTCTTAATCATTTTTAATGGAGTATAACAGCCAATGAATATACTTCTCTAATTAGAATTCCACATATCTAAGGAAAATTATATCAAACTAAAGTATTTAAATAAGTGAAGCAAGGGGGAAAAATCAATAAATGAGAGATTCTCTTACCAGAATAAAATGATCCTAACATTTCCTTTCTTCCAGAATGCTCTTGCAGACTTTGCCCAGTCAGGATAGGGTTTGTCCTGAAGCATCATATCTGTGACCTGAAGTAAAGAAAGGGCCTTATTTAGTGTTTTCAGAAATCTTACATTAAGGTGTAAGTATGTAGATAATTCCTATTTTATTGAAGATCAAATAGGAATTTTAACATTAGAGTATATGCAAAAAATGCACTGCCTTCACTTAAAAACTTTAAAAACTCATTTGACTTTACATAATAAATGAGCCCATTTAATCAGATATTGAGACTTTTTAAATATCAAAGGAGTTTGCTTTACAGAAGGAGGCAGATACTAAGCTCTCCATAGAAACAAAGTACCTATAGAGCCTCCCCTGTGGCGCAGGCATTTGAGCGCAGTGCTGTGAAGCTGTCCACAGCCTCTGCAACGCCAGTTCGATCCCGGCCAGCCGGTGAGGATCCCACATGGCTTGGCAGACCTCTCCTGTCTCGCCTGCTGCTCCCCTCAGCAGTGTATTTCAGTCAGTCTGCCTGTTCTGTTCCCCACTCTGTCTCTAGTGAATACTCTCACCCTCCTGCGAATCTGGCCTGTACCCTGGTTCTTGTGTAAATAAATAAATTAAAATCTTGAAAAAAAAATATTACCCCATATTTTTCAAATATTTTCAGAAACCCCAAAATCCAAGTATTTTCTGGTAGGTCTAGATATTTACCTATATCACTAGCCAAAATAGCACTTAGGGCCTCCCTGGTGGCGCAGCGGGTTGAGCGCAGTGCTGTGAAGCTGTCTGCAGCCTCTGCAGCGTGGATTCCATTTCCCACAGGCCAGGGAGATAACTACATGGTGCGGCATGTCTGGCCCGCTGCTCCCCTCAGCAGTATTTTCAGTCCATCTGCCTGTTCTGCTCCCTGCTCTGTCTCTGGTGAATTCTCTCACCCTCCCACACCTCTGGCCTGTACCCCTGTTCTTGTATAAATAAATAAATCTTTAAATATATATATATATATAAAATTGTATCTTCTCTCCTTTTTTTCCTTTCAATATTAATGAGCTACAGCACTGGAACCCTGTTTTATTGAAATTTGATCTAATTACCTAGAATTTTCTCCTTGTCATTAGTAATTCTATCCCTTCTTCTGAAAATATTCTACCTCCATTTCTCACATACATAGATTTTTGCCACCTTCTAAGTCCTAGGTAAAGTCCTTTACCACTGTGATGAATTAATTGCCCCCCAACATAGCTCTCAATCCTCTTTCTCGTGTTACCTATCACTTTCTACCTTTTACCTTGACTTATTTATATTCAGTTTTTCTCTCTGCTAGTTTATAAAATCTTGAAAGCGAACATCTATTTTTGTACTCCTTCCAATGTCCAAGGTTCTTTTATATAAATTACTTAAAATATTTGCTCAAGGAAGAAATGATGAAATGAGTTAGGCTATCCAAGTTCGTTTTTAAAGATGCATTAACAAAGTAAACACTGCATCGGTCACATCACCTATTAATAGTTTCAGCAAATGTCCAAAGTACCATAAATAGATAAAGCTTCTGACATTGTGTTTAAGTATAACTTCCAACACTGGCCTGGGCTTGATTTGCTGAGTTTTTTTTTTTTTTGTTTGTTTGTTTTTTTTTTTGATTTGCTGAGTTTTAATCATCCATGATGAAAGACTTGATTCAGCGGGGGTTCTTTCTGAACTTCCTCTGCAAGGCACATCAATTCTCAAGCAAGCTGATCTTGTTGGGTCATGTGGTGTCGAAGAAGTAGTCTCTGAAACTTTCACTGGGGTATCAAGGCTTTACACAGTCACACAAGATACAATTAGAAGAGTGGGGGAGGAGTCCAGTCACCAGGAAATAATTTACCTTAATTCTTTCTATTCTTTCTCAACATCATTTCTATGTAGAGAACTCTCAATCTTGACTTGGTTGATGAGATACAAAGAAAATTCATTCACCTTCAATGAGTAACCCTGAAGATTTACACCAGTTCTATTTAATTTAGGTTTTACAATTAAAAAAAAACAACTAACAACCATAAGTTGTTTAATATAAACTCTTAATTTTTTTAAACTGTTAATTACTTTGATAAATATGGAAGCAACTAATATTAATCCTAAAAGCAATAAAACTTGTTTTACTTAGTTTTAAGAGGAAACTTGCTTATTGATGATTTTCTCATTTATTTGTTTTCTCTTGACAGTTTAGAATCACAGGATTTTATTTTCTCAGTCAGACTAATGCCTATACTAATCAAAACAGACTCATGATACTTATCAAAATGAACAAAGGGGAGATGAAAAAATAAAAATTAACATGAATCAAGTGAGTTACATTGTTACCAAAAATGAATGAGGAAAAAGTAAAGACATTAAAATCCATAAAGAGATTTATGGATCATAAAGTCCCTTGAAGAAAAACTACTATTCTTCTAAATACAACAATTTCATCCACTATTTCTCCATACCATTCTTGAATAACTTTTGTGTCAAATTTTGTTTTTATAAAACCTCAAATTTAAGTTAATGGATACTCAAATGTTTCATGTTCTCCCAGCTCTTTAAAAGATTTAATTAATTCTGCTCAGCAACAGTTATGCAGTTTTTTAAAAAAAATCTGCATGATAATAAATATTTTCAAGGAACAAAATGATTACTGGATGGATTTTATTCAATTTTCAATGTTTTCTCCGGGGAACTTTCTGGGAAATACTTATTATATTTTCTGGTAGAAGGCAATCTGCTGTTATATGTCCAATTATTACAGCAGTGTGATTTGCAAAAATGACATTCAATTCAAGCATAAAGGATTTTCTCAGGAAAATGGTCAGATACGGCAAAACAAAAACAAAAACATTTTCTTCCGATGCCAGACATTTGCCCTTTTTCACCCCTTGTTTCAACTCTTTATAAGTCATGGCGTCAGATCAATGTCAGGTCACTTGCAGTTAAATTGACAGGAGCAGAAACAGTCATTAAAGGAACACATTCAATAAAGAAAAATCCAATTACCTTCTGAGTTAGAGAAATCAAATTCATTTGATATTAGTCAAGGACAGTCTTTGTGGGAAAATGTGTAGAAAAGTGAGGATAGAAGATGATGTAAAAAAGTTGCTTTGCAGCTGGAATACAATACCAAACCTGTTGATGCATTTTCCAGAGGAAGATTATGAGAATTTGAAATTGCAGATCCTGCATTCTGAACAGGGAGAAATTTAACTCTTTGTATCTCAGAATCATTCCCTTCCATTTTTCACTTCAGTAAGTCTTTGCGCAGAACTCAGAATTTCATCAGGGTCCTTAACACGTATCTTGTCAGGTGGTCTTTCTCAACAGAATATAAACCAATTCAAGCCAAGTGTATTGAGCGATCTGAACAAGGACATAAATGTTGGGATTGAAAACTCAGTAAATGATATAAAAGCAATAGATTCCTGGATCTCCCTGGTGGCCCTGATCTCAGTGCTATCACCGCTACGGCCTGAGTTTGATCCCTGGCCAGGGAGCTGACCCCCAGGTGCAGCAGACCTCTGTTTTCTCGCCTGCTGCTCCCCTCAGCAGTGGATTTCAGTAGATCCATCTGTTCTGCTCCCTGCTCTGTCTCTGGTGAATCCTCTCACCACCCCCCACAACTCTGTCCTACACCCCGGTTCTTACACACACACACACACACACACAGGATTTAAAAAAAAGGATAGCACTATTTAGTGAAGCACCATTTAAGAGAAACTATTCTATTAATAAACAAGTACATACATTAAGGATATTAATGACACATACATAATTTTCTTTAAATGCTAGCATGTTATTTTACAACTTCTTTCTAGTTAGCAGAATATTTTGAAAATCATTATATACCTGAACATATAGAGCTGCTTAAATAGTTTCTCCTCATTTTTTCATCCACCATATTTTTCTCATGGGCATTCTTTTGAACTATAAAAGGTTTATATTACTTTTATAATTAAACTTTATGTAATATGTGTCTGCTACTTCTTTAAATTTTATTACTCCCTCTTATGGGTATTAACAAAATTATTTTGCTTCTTCTCCCTCTCTCTTTTCCCCTCTACCACCCTGCTGTACTTATTATATTACTTTTTTATTAATTTTTGACTTTTTTAATATCCTACTCTTATTTTTTAACCATCCTTCAATAATATCATCTTTCTATATCTATAAAAGATGAGAAAAAATTAGAATAATATACTATTATGCCACCTATCACTTCTGTGTTGTTAGAGTTTGGGAATATTTCTCATTCTCATTTAAAGTTAGAAGCTACACAGTTCTTTTTTTTTTATAGCTATATTTTAATTCTGTTAAGGTTTCAAGCGTTTTACAACATAGAAGAAAAATAATATTCATGCACAAGAAAGATGTTAAGGAATTTTGTAAGTTTAATGCCATGTTTTTCAATGTTTTCTAAGGTATTATCTCTATTTTTAAAATAGATCATATCTTTTACCTAAAATCACCTTTCCCATAAAAAGGTATGCATCTCTCTGCTGAAATTAAAACTTTTTATCAATTGTATTTACTAATCATTTTCTTATTTATTCAAGCCTAATTAACAGCAAAAAAAAGTTTCGAAATTAAAGACTGCCTTTGTGACTTAGGCGGGGAGAGGAAGAACTAGAGCCAAAATAAGGGGGGGGGTGCAATTGTATGGGGAATATAACCAAAATGAAAATGCATACATTGTACAAAGATGAAAAATTATGTAAGAATTTTATAAAATAAAATATTTTAAAAAAACACTATAATTGATAAAGAACATTGACTTCCAAATCTTTGAAAGAAGCTACACATTTCTTTTAAACTCAATCCTAAAATAAAGTGGACTCAATGATCTTTACCAGTAGCACTTCTAGAGTTTTGGCTTTATGTCCAATGCCCACATTTTGTTCTATAATACAATCTTCAGGAAGGTTCATGAGAACAAGACAGCCTACAAATTGAAATAATCAACCAATTCAGCAAAGTAGCAAGCTATAAAATCAACATATAAAAATCAGTTGTATTCGTATATATAGACAATGAGGTAGAAGTGGAAAAAAACATTTTAAAAATATGCCATTTA